TGTGTGTGTGTGTGTGTGTGTGTGTGTGTGTGTGTGTATTTTAAGGGTTACAATTTTAGGACCATCTGTGGAACGAGTGTCTTCAAGTGAGAAGGGTGAACAACCTTTGTAGGTTTTGTGGCTTGTTTTGGGGGGTCAGGGACTCTAGTTTCCAGGACCCATCTGGGGGAAAGGCATGAGTTAATTTGTAGGACGCACATGGTAGAAGGAGAGAACTGATTCCTTCAAGTTGTCCTCTGACCTCCATATACATATCATGGTATGTGCACCCACACATGCACACACACACATAAAATAAAGTAAATTTAAAAATTAAGGCTGTTTTTTCACTCCCTCTGTCTTTTAAATCTTTTAAAAATCTTTTATTATTTTTATTTTATGTGTATGCCTGCATGTATGTACATGCACTCATGTTATGCAATGCCTGAAGAGGTCAAAAGTAGGTGTTGGATCCCCTGGAACTGGAGTTACAGCCAGTTGTAAGCTGCCATGTGGGTGCCTGGAACCAAACCCAGGTGAACAACCTTTGTAGGTTTTGTGGCTTGTTTTGGGGGGGCAGGGACTCTAGTTTCCAGGACCCATCTGGGGGGAAGGCATGAGTTAATTTGTAGGACCAACATGGTAGAAGGAGAGAACGGATTCCTGCAAGTTGTCCTCTGACCTCCATATACGTATCACGGTATGTGCACCCACACATGCACACACATAAAATAAAGTAAATTTAAAAATTAAGGCTGTTTTTTTCACTCCCTCTGTCTTTTAAATCTTTTAAAAATCTTTTATTATTTTTCTTTTAAATTTTTTAAAAAATTTAAAAAGTATTTAGCCAGGCATGGTGGTGCATGCCTTTTATCCTAGCACTTGGGAGGCAGAGGCACACGTATCTCTGTGAGTTCAAGGCCAGCCTGGTCTACATAGTGAGTTCCAGGCCAGTTGGGGCTACAGGGAGACACTGTCTCAAAAAAAGACCCCCAAAAATTAAACTTTACATAATGTATACACACATGCATGGAAACAGCACATTCCATTAATGTGCATAATTTTTATGGTTTTTTTTTTTGTCTTTTTGAAGCAGGGTCTCCCTGTAGCCCCAGCTATCCTGGAACTCACTATGTAGACCAGGCTGGCCTTGAACTCACAGAGATCCACCTGCCTCTGCCTCCCGGGTGCTGGGACTATAGGCATGTGCCACCATGCCTGGCTAATTTTTATGTTTTTATAGCTAAAGAAATCATATAATAATTAACAAGATGTAATGGCATACACCTATAATCCCAGTCCTCAGGAGGCTGAAACAGGAAAATCTTGAGCATGGGGCCAGCCTGAGCTACATAGCAAGTTCCAGGCTATCCTGGACTATATAAGAAGATCCTGCCTCAAAATAAAACGAAATTGCTCTCCATTACAATGGTAAATGTGTGACTGGCCTATCCCCTAGGCTGAGGGATGCGCTTTCAAATAGGACATTAAATTGGGCCTGTGGGAGACTGGAGAGATGACTCTGGTTTACGAGCACTGGTTGTTCTTGCAGAGGACCCAAATTCTGTTCCCAGCATTCAGATGAGATAGTTGGGCATCTCATCAACCACCAGTAACTCCAGCTCTGGGAGATCAAACACCCTTTCCTCACTCCCAAGGACATATGTGCATACAGGCATCTACAGATAAATAAAAATGAAAAAAAGTTTTGGTCTTTTTGAGACAGAGCCTCTCTGTAGCCCCAGCTGGACTGGAACTCACTAGGTAGACCAGGCCAGCCTCAAACTCACAGAGATCCACCTGCCTCTGTCTCCTGGCAAAAATAAATCTTTAAATTTGACCTGCAGAGCAGGTATGGTGGCACACACCTTTAACCCCAGCATTTGGGAGGCAGAGGCAGGAAGATCTCTGAGAGTTCACAGCCAACTAGATCTAATAATGAGTTCTAGGCCAGCCAGGACTGCAGAGTGAGACCCTGTCTCAAAGTAAAATGAAATTCTTCTGCAAGAACAGTGTTCTTAACTGCTGAGCCATCTCTCCAGCCCCCCCACTTTTTTTTTGTCTTTTTGGGACAGGTTCTCCCTGTAGTCCCAGCTGGCCTAGAACTTACTATGTAGACCAGGCTGGTCTTGAACTCAGAGATCTGCCTGTCTCTGCCTGTTTCTGCCTCCAGAGTGCTGAGATTAAATGTGTGTGCCACCCTGCCCAGCTAGAAAATCCTTTTAATCTGGGGAATTGTGTCTGGATATTACTGCCTTGGGCCCACTCAGGCAGTTTAACGGGTTCCTTCTGGAGACCAAAAGTCACAAGAGTACCCTGAAAGGATCCTCATTCAAGATCCCATGTGAGAAAACCTCCTTTTTCCTCAAATCCTCTCAGGGCTTGTGCAAGGAAGACTTTCTGTTGGCTCTCCAGAACAAGTTTGCTCAAACATTTGGTATGCTGAGTAAGTGGGCTCCAAGCAGCTGAATCCTTGTACTATGATGGTACTAAAGCCACTGTGTATTGGCCATTCACAAAATTCCAGACATAGCCCTGGCCATTCTGAATTCTAGTGGAGCTCTGATGCAAACTCTGCCCCTGCCCATGCTGGGGATGGACTCTGGAACCTCAAGCCTGCTAGACAGGCGCTGACACAGAGCCCAACGCTTTCTTGTTTTATATTTTATTATTTTTATTTTATATGTATGAGCATATTGTCTGCATGTGGGTAAGTACACCCACGCAGACATATGGGTGCTAGGAATCGAACCCAGATCCTCTGCAAGAGCAGCCACTGCTCTTAACCACTGAGCCATCTCCCCAGTCCCTCTTTTTGTTTTTAAAACAAGCTCTCACTCTTGCCCAGGTTGGCTTTCAATTACTGGGCTCAAGGAATCCTCCTGCCTCTACTTCACTAATAGTTGAAACTACTCTAGTACCAGCTTGCAACTGTTTTCTCTTTTTTTTCTTTACTTTTTCTTTTTTCCCTTATTTTTATTTTTTTGAGGCAAGGTCTCGCTATGTAGTCCTGGCTGACCTGAACCGCACTATGTAGACCAGGCTGGGCTTGATCTCACAGAGATGTGCCTGCCTCTGCCTCCCCCAGTGCTGAAATTAAATGTATGCACCACCAAGCCTGGCTTTAATTTTTTATTATTTTTATTCTATGTGTATGAGAGTATTGCCTGCACGTGTGTAAGTGTACCCATACGTGCAGTGACCGCTGAGGTCAGAAGAGGGTGTCTGATTCCCCTGGAACTGGAGTTATGGACGGTTGTTAGCCTGCGAATCGAACACAGGTCTTTTGTAAAAGCAGCAGCCAATGCTCTTAACTGCTGAGCCATCTCTCTGGCCCCCAATTTTTTCTTTAAGAATATGAATTAACTTCTTCATTTTCCTAAGGATGATGAGGCTGGTATTGTAAGTAGTATAGGGTGACAGGAGAGAGGGGGGTGCCCTGGGGCAGACTCCACCTGTTGTTCCACCAGCAGTTTCTGCCCAAATACCCCAGGCTCTCCCAGTTACAGGTGGTCCCACCAGCCCACGTTCAAGATTTGTCCCAGGGGGCTGGAGAGATGGCTCAGCGGTTAAGAACACTGGTTGTTCTTGCAGAAAACCCGAGTTCGAATCCCAGCACCCACACGGCAGCTAACAACTCTCTGTAACTCCCGTCCCAGGGGATCCGACAGCCTCTTCTGACCTCCTCGGGCACTGCACGACACGGGTGCACTTACCTACACGCAGGCAATACACGCATACACATAAAATAAAAATAAATAAAATATTAAAAAAGAAAAAAAAAAGATATTTCCCAGGCAGCAGGTTGCATCCTGAGCAGCAGAAATCCTGACCTGCTTCCAGCGCTGCAGGTGAGGCCTGGGCGGTGTCTGGAGCCTGAGCCCGTGCAGGACGCCATCTCCTAGCAACCGGCGGCGGTCACGTGTCCGCGCGAGCCCGCCTCACGTGGTCGGAGGCCGAGCCGCGGTTGGGCCTCGCGTTCCGCGGGGCGGGGCGGGGAAGTTTGTTCCTTGAGTTCGGAGCCCTGGAGTCCCCGGCGCCGTCGCGCAGGTGCCTCCGCCGGGGTCGGGATGGAGCTGCCGGCCGTGAACTTGAAGGTGGCCGCGCGGGCGGGGCCGGCGGGCGGGCACTGGCCGCCGAGGGTCCGGCTCCGGGGCTCGGGAGGAGGCGGGAGGGCCCGGAGCCTGGGAGAGGGGTTGAGAGCCGAACGGAAGGCGCAGACCGGGGGCGGAGGCTGGGGTTGTCGGGGAGCGCACCCTGGCTGGTCCCCCTCCCCAGGAGCAGGCCAGGGATCCCCACCCCGGAGAGGCGGGGTTCCCCTCCAGTGGGTCCTTGTGTGTGCAGGTCCGGGGTAGGAGACGCAGATCCCCCCGGATAATTGCATCTCCCTCATTGACGGATGCAGCGGCCGTATTTCGTAACTAAGAAGCTATGAGCTGCAGGCGTTTCCTAAAGCCGAAAATCCCCGAGCTTGAGTCCAGGCCGCGGGACTGACTGCGGTGGCCTCATTTCTAAGCTGTTCCTTTTTTCTCTCCGCCCATCCCGTTTGCAACAGAGGGGTTGGCGCAGTGACTTAACTTCGGTCTGGGGAGTGTGGACCTTGGACTGAACCAGCCATTTTGGGTCTTGGTAAAGGCACCTTGAGACAGGACCTTTAGACTCCCGAGTGTCTGAGACCAGAGTGACTGAAGAGATAGATGGCCGTGGGGCAGCGATGTGACCCCCCAATTGGGTGATTACACGTAAGCTAGGCTGTGACTTGCCCTGGCTGGTTTCCCTTTCCTAAGTTTCTGGTCAGCAGCTGGAGGAAGACATGATTGGAGCAAAGGAATGGGCTTGGGTGGAACCCTTAGCTGGGGAAAAGTTTACAGGTGGCTGCAGGGCTTGTGGGTTTTGGTACTTATTGTTGAAGGCAATCCCGGTTTCAGGACAGGTGCCCTTTCTAAAGCCCAGAGCCTGCCCCTCAAATACTTGAGAGTGTCTTGTGGGCTGGGTGTGTGACTCAGTGGTAGAACACTTGGTTAGCACACACAAGGCCTGGGGTTGGACCCTCTAACACCACAGACAGACACACACACACAGACAGAGAGGTAAAGGTATTTATTTACACATTTACGTTGAGGTAGGGTTTCACATAGTACAAATTGACCTTGATCTTCCTGCCTCCGCTTCCCTCCAGTGCTGGGATTACAGGCCTGGACTATTGTAGTGCTGGGGATGGAACCTAGCACTTTATATGCTTCTTTTCCCCCTTGTCTTTTTGAGGCAGGGTCTCCCTGTATCCTCACCTGGCCTGGAACTCACTGTGTAGACCAGCTGGCCTTGATCTCACAGAGATCCTCCCTCCTCTGCCTCCTCAGTGCTGGGATTAAAGGCGTGTGCCACCACATCCTAACAGGGCCCCACACGCTTCTCTTGAAGCAAGCCCTGGGCAGGAGGAATAGCACTGGGACAAGCCCAAGTCGAGTAGAACTAAACTTGTGTCCCAAGGTCTTGGGAGGACCCAAGGTGGAGGTGCCTTAGTGAAGCTGAGTTGGTGGTAATGAGGCCGCTGTGTCCGGAGGGATTCCCTGGCAGGTGCTGGGTTAAGTACTTAGCATACCCCCACCTCCCAGTCCCCAGCCAGAGCCAGGGAGACAGATTAACCCTGCTTTGCAGAAGAGATGTCAGGAGACTTGCCCAAGGTCTTGTGCGGAAACCAGGATCAAATCTTCAGGTTTGACTCTAGAACCTACCAATTGGCCAGTGCTATAGTGCTATGATAGCCCTGGCTATTAGGCCTTGGACTCAGCCGCGCTGGGGCACTCCACTGTCTCATCTAACAGGCCACCAAGTGTTTGCACAGGACACACTGGAATGCACTGAGTACTCAGTTGAGGCTGGGGAAGTCCCATCCCCTCCTTTCTTGGGAGTGGCAAACAAAGGATTGTTTTGTTTTTTGTGGTAGGGATCAAATCCAGGGCCTGGTGCTTGCCAGGCAAGTACTCGACCCCTGAGCCACATTCTACCCCCAAACTAATGGTAAATCCTCATGGCCCCTTGCCTTCTGTTCCACCCTCCCTTTTCCAGGTTAATCTTTACTCCCATCTGCCTTGCCTTTGTTCTTGCAGATTCTGACAACAGCACAGTGGACAGAGGGAGGATTTGGGGACCAAGTTTCAAGGCCAAGCTTTGCTAGTTAGTAGCTGTGTGACATGGAGTAGGTATCTTGACCTCTCTGAGTATCAGTTTCCTTACTGTAAAAAGATGTTGAAAACAGGCCATCCTTTCTAGGGCGATACGGGGAGGGGAGGAAGCTTAGTATTGGGATTAAAAACAGACCAGAAGCCAAACTTGATGGTAGATATCTTAATCCTAGCCCCCTGAGACAGGCAGGAGGCTCTCACTACAAGTTTTAGGCCAGGATGGCCTCCATTTGAGAGACCCTGAGGCAAAAACTCAAGCCCTGTGGTCTTGGTCTGGGCCTTGCCCATCTGGGAGTTGATGTGCTGGACCTGCTTTTCTGAGTCTCTCCAGCCTGGGTTCTGCCCCATCTGGCCCCGTAAACAGCTTGGGGCTTGGGTTCTGTGCAGTGTGGGTGAGGAGCAGGCGGGGCCTGGGCAGTTACTACTGAGTGAGGATTCCATCCAGGAACTGTGGTGACTCAGTGGACAAGCATAGGGCTGTCAGATGCCTGCCTTCCTGGCAGTCGAGGGCCCGGTGGGATAGACTGTCCCCAGGTGACACAGGGAGGAACCTGTGTTCCCACCCAGCTACCCAGTGACCCCTGCTACTACCCTGGCCCATTGAGCTTGTCGGGAAGAACTGGTCAGCCTGTCTTGGGCTGAGCACAGTAGTGGCAGTCCCCTGGCTCAGGCCCTGCCCCCTCCTGCTGTTACCTGGCCCTTCACAGACTTCTTTTCTTTTGGAGAACCCTCAGCGCTCCTGTTTCCCTATCCTCCACCCCTAGAAGCACCAGCCAGCCTTCAGCTCGGTGTCCACGGTGAGCTGCTGGCCCCTCGGGCTGAGCATTGCTGGGAAGGATGGGGCCACTTTGCTGTTTCCCCATGCAATTTTTCCTGGAATTTAGGGCTCTGAGGACTGAGGTTCCCATTATAAGGAGAGGGAAACTGTGGCAGAAGAGGCTTAGTCTCTTGGCAGATTTCCTGTCCCAGAGGTTTAAGAAAAATTGCACAGAGTGTAAGTTTCTTCAGTATTCATGAATAAAGCAGTGATACACTGAGAAAGCCCAGGCAGGGTGTTTGCTTTGTGCCATGGGCCTTTCTTGCTCCAGCCTGGGTCTCATCATGGGTGGTCAGCCACCTTCTGCCCCCCCCACCTTGTCCCACCCATCTTTCTCTGCATGGTAAACAGGGACCTGCAGGCTGGGGTGCAGCGCAGTCGTAGAACGTGTAAACATGGCATGCCTGAGACTGTGGGTTCTAGCCCCAGCAGCAAAACTAAAGAAAGATAAGCCAGGGCTTGCAGGCTAAGACATGCCGGGCTCCTCCACACCTGGCCATTCCATACCTACTGTGTACGTGGCTGAGGTGGAGGAGCCAGGGTGCTTGCAGCTGATGGATGTTTCTGAAGAGGTCAAGAGCAAAAGGTAGCGGTGGTGTGAGCTGGCTCCTCCATGCCTCCTTCCTCTGCATCCTTGTGTGTAGCCTTGTAGATGGACATCAGGACCGCTAAGGCCACCCTCCCGGGCTTCCATGAGACCCTCCCCCCAGTGGGCCAAGGTTTCTTCTGTGGGCCAGGGTTTCGCTGTCTTTTGCTTCTTGGGGGTGGGGTACACTTACCTTTTTGAGCTTAGAGACCAGAGAAGGATATAGGGTGCCCTGCTCTGCCTCTCTCTGCCTTATCTTGAGACAGGGTCTCTCCCTGAGCCCTCAGCTAGGCTGTCTCTGTCCCCTCCCCCTCCAGCGGGAGCAGTGCCTTGCCCAGCTTTGTGTGCTGGGCTTAGGCAAGAAGTAGTCTTATCCATTGTGCTATCTCCCCAGCCCTGGGCCAGTTTCCTGTAAGACCACAGGGACTTCGGTTAGCCCTGGAGGAAAAGATAGATTCCCCATCCCTCATGCATCCCCCCAGCTTCCTGCCTTCCCTACTTCTTGCCTTCCACTCCAGGTGGTCACAGTTTCCAGAAGGTTCCACAGGCCTTTCTGCCACAGTGCCTTTGTGGGCGCTGCCTCTTCATGCTAAATGTTCTTTCCTCTCAGCTTCCCTGATTAGTGAGTGGCCCTGGCTCACGCTGATCCTGAGCAGCAGCCCCAAGCCCTCCCTTGAACACAGCAGATACTGGCAGAAACTGCCAGAGGAAAATGACAGATGTCAATCGACAGCATCATTGCATCATTTAAGTCCTTCAGAGAAGAAACCCATAGGAGACTAAGCCTCTCGTGCCTCAGTTTTCCTTCTTTATAATGGGGAGAGGCCATGTGGCCGGATAGCACAGCCTAGGTTTGAGTCCTGGGTCTCCTACTAGCTTGTGTGGGTCTGAGCCTCAGTTTTTACAGCTGAACTGGGGGGGATGCCTTAGAGGACCTAAGATTTCTGTTCCGTTCCTTTCCAGAAAGTACAGAGAATGTTGCCCAGCATACAGGTGCTGTGTGCATGAGGTAGAATGTGAAAATTGTTCTAGGCCACATCCTGTGCCCCACAGACCAACCTGCTCAGAGCCTTGGGACCTCCAAAAAGTTGGGTGTGTGGATCCTGTCCGAAGTTCTTTATTGGTTTTCTGTAGCTAAAAGAGGGATTTCTCTTAGGCCACGGAGCCAGGCCCCCTTTGGTTCATCCTGGCATTGGACCCTGGAGGGAAAGGCTAAGTACCCCTGGTGGAGGAGGCGTGCATTTCTCATAAGGCCAAACCGCCCCTCTCAGCTGATGGCCCAGGAGGGTGGAGGTCAGGAGCACTAGTTTTGGAGTGAGGCTTAACATTATTTGTGTGGTGTGTGTCTTTCTGTCTGTCTCTGTCTGTGTGTCTCTCCATGTACAGGGAAGCCAGGGGTTAACATCAGTGTCTTCCGTAATCATTCCCCTTTTCTCTCTCTCTCTCTCTCTCTCTCTCTCTCTCTCTCTGTCTCTCTTTTTTTTTTTCTGTCTGTCTCTGTCTGTGTGTCTCTCCATGTACAGGGAAGCCAGGGGTTAACATCAGTGTCTTCCGTAATCATTCCCCTTTTCTCTCTCTCTCTCTCTCTCTCTCTCTCTCTCTCTCTGTCTCTCTCTTTTGTTTTAGTGACAGGGTCTCATTGTAGCATGGTCCACCACACCTGGCCACCTGGCCCCCTCTCCCTTTTTTTGAGGCTGGGTCTTTGGTAGCTCAAGCTGATACCAAACCTTGTAGCCAAAGATAACCTTGAACTTCTGATCTTCCTGTCTTCACCTCTGGAATAATTGTGTGCACCACCTTGCCTGGTTTATGTGGTGCTGGGGTGGAACCCGGGCTTTACAAATAGTAAGCAGGCACGAACTGAGCTACAACCCCAGGCTTGAAGTTTAACTAGGTTTGCCACCCTTTGGGGAATCTTGATCAATCAACTGAATTTTCTTCTGAGCCTACTTGTTGGACTAAAACGGGAATAAAAAGTTTGTGTTCCAGAGGCCGTCGGGAAGCCTAGTGAGGAGGGGGGCACAGGGCCTGGCCCACCATAAGTATGCAGTGACGAGTAGTTCTAGAAACACACTCCTTCCTCGTCTCCTGCAGAGCTCTGAGACACAGGTGTGACAGCTCCTTCCTCCTGGGCCCTTTCCTGCTTCTCTGCCCTGGCCCAGTGCACTGTCCTGTCCCCAGCTCCTGGATCTCTTCCTTAGCAGCCTAACCCTGCCATCTCCACCTGCGAAAGCTCCCAGGAAGGGCTCCTGGCCTTCAGGAGGTCTCAGCACCATTCCCATCCCGGCCTCTACCTTGCCCTTCTCCCACTGAGAGCCCTAGTCTGGCTCCCTGCCTTAGCCTGGATGATTTCTGCTCATCCTTAACACTCAGCCCTGAAGTCTGTGACCACCCTAACAGGGCCCTTGCCCTCTCTGTAGCATCTGCCCCTCCTATCTTAGCTGTCCATGTGGTGCCCTCTAGGTTACCAGTAGAGGCCAGTCCAGGAAAGGGGCTGCAATTTCAAAGGTGCACAGCACAGTAAAAGGGGATATTGCAGAATTCTCTGCAGGCCAGAGGGATTTTGTCCTTAATGTGAGTTATACTATGAAGTCTCCCTGCAGAAGCCTCAGGCTCCCCTCAGTCACTGAGCTTGAAATCTGGTCTAACCATGGCTTTTGGACCCCATGTCTCTCACCTCTCCCCTGCTGTATTTTGTTTGTTTTCAAAATAGGGCCTTGTGTAGCCCAAGTTAGCATTGAAGGAGCTACATAGCTAAAGAGGACCTTAAACTTCCAGATCCTCTTGTCTCCACCTGCTAGGATTGCAGGTGTGTGTGTGTAGACTAGTGTACCACACACCTAGTCTAGGCAGTACTGGGGATTGAACTTGAACCCCAAGCTTTTTTTAAAAAATATTTTATATATTATTTTATGTGTATGAGTGTATTGCCTGCATGTATATAAGTGCACCACACGTGTCATGCAATGCCCCAAAGAGGGTATTGGATTCCCCTGGAACTGGAGTTAAGGACGGTTCACAGCCACCGTGTGGGTGCTGGGAATCCAACCCAGGTCCTCTGGAAGAGCAGTCAGTGCTCTTAACTGCTGAGCCATCTCTCCAGCCCCAAAGCCCGAGCTTTAGGTATGCCAGGCTAGCACTCCCCACTGAGCTGCATTCCCAGCCCTACTCCTTGCTCTTCCCCTCCAGCCACTGTGACTGCCTTCCTGTCTGCCCACAGCACTGGCTCCAGTGTCCTAGGAAATCACCTTTTTTACTATTTATTTATTTTGGTCCCTAGTGCCGGGACTACAGGTGTGCGCCACCACGCCTGGCTCAGAAATCACCTTTTTCACTATTTATCTATTTACTTTGGTCCCTAGTGCTGGGACTACAGGTGTGCGCCACCACGCCTGGCTCAGAAATCACCTTTTTTACTATTTATCTATTTATTTTGGTCCCTAGTGCCGGGACTACAGGTGTGCGCCACCACACCTGGCTCAGAAGTCACCTTTTGTTGGAGGCCCCTCCTGTTTTTACGTTGACTTCTGATTCCAGAGCTCAAGTTCTGTGCTCCCTGGACTAGTCCCCAGCCGTGAAGGCAGGGGATGGGTGCTGACTCTCGGTGGGGGCAGCTTTTCCCCACCCAGCTCCTCCTTCATCTTGGGCCCTTTGCTGGTGCTGGTGTTTCTTCAGGACAATTGTGAGGCCCATTTCTGTGCCAGGCGGGGGTTCTTGTATGTTCTGACTCTAAACTTTGCTACCGCCTGTGACCATTGCATTCATAGACTGATTTACCCCTTCTTTGTGCAGGTAATTCTCCTGGTTCACTGGCTGCTGACAACCTGGTGAGTGACTCTGGGTGTCTGGCTGGATCGTAGGTCTCCTGGATGTATGTCATGACACCTGGGTTCTGTCCAAACTCTCATGGGGTCTGTGTCCACATGTCTGAGTCAGCCTGGGGTCTGTGTCCACATATCTGAGTCAGCCTGCTTAGGTCTGTTCTGCAGTGTTTCAGCCAGTGACTTTGAGAAGACCACACTGCCCAGGGCTGGGACCGCTTTTTATCCTGCCTGGTGGTTCAAGGACCAGCCTTGCAGCAGAACTCACCAGACACCCCATCCACCACCCCTGTCCCTAGGTGGGACTCCAGGTGTGCAGCTGGACCTCCGCTTTACCTCTGTCATGTATCTGGAGATTCCGGCAAGATTCCTCCACCAAGGCAAATCGCCACTGAAGTCATGTGTGTTTTACAGAGTTTGAAGTGTGGTAACACTGTGAGTGATATGAATGGTGGAGTCGGGGTCACTCCCTGAGATTCCACATTGGTCATTAGGCAGGGTCCAGGCCCCTGCTTTCCTAAGACAGAAGGTGAAAGGACTGGAAGATATCAGGCCTGACTGCACTCCACACATGTGCTTTGCACATGCTGTCTGCATGCCACTCTCTGTGAATGTCATTTAAATTTATTAAGTGCCCCACTGGTTGCTGGAACATTCAGGACCCAGTAGAGAGAGTGGACTCTAAGTCAAGGTCCTCCTCCTCCTGGCTTTCTGTTCAACAGAACAGGGTGGGCCAGAGCCTGGCCTCTTTCCCGAGTGTTCCCACCTCAGACCTGCTGCTGACAGCTGTGTGACCTGGGCAAGTCACCCATCAGGCCCTGCCTCAGAATTTGTAAAAAGAGGTTGTGGTAACACAAGAGCATACCACCAAGATTCATGAATGAGTGACTTTAGAATACTTACGGATGGTGCGAGGTCCTGGCAAGTGCCCAAGTTACCTTGATCTTCACCAGCTCAACAAACACATAAGCAACGTCCACTATTAGTGATGCCCATCCTGTTAGAGCAGGGAGGGCCGGCTGCGTCAGGTCAGCATGGGAGAGGTCTCAACATTTGAGCTGCAACTAAGGTGACAACAAAGGGCTGTTTGCCAGGTGTGGTGGCACCAACCTTTAGTCCCAGCACTTGGGCACTTGGGAGGCAGAGGCTGGAGGATATGTATGAGATTGAGGCCAGCCTGGTCTACATAGCAAGTTCCAGGCCAGCTGGGGCTACAGGGAGATCCTGTCTTAAACAAGCAAACAAAAAAAGGCTCGTGTTTAGGCAGAGGGGGCTTCAGTGGCCAGGAGGTAGGGGTGGGGCCAAGGGGGGGCGTGGACTGAAAACTTGGAAGTTTGGGATAGAGGAGTGACGCTTGAGGCACACGCTGGTTGCTATCTCAGGAACCACCTGTAGGGGGCAGGAGTGCCAGCAAGACCTGGGTAGGTAAGCTGTTGGCCTATCCTGGCAGGAAAGGATGAATGAGGCCAGGTTTGGGAGCCATGTGGGAGGTGTAGTCAGTGGGACGCACACCATAGCCCTGTGGCCTGTTCTCGGGAGGCCTGTGACCCTGGGGCAAGAGGGAGGTGACTGTGGGAAACCTGGGCAGCTGCAGGGGTAGTGACTAACTGGGGATGACGTTCCTCTCCCTGCAGGGGCTGCATTGCATTCTCTGGCTCCTATGCCTGGAGCAACTTCACCATCCTGGCCCTGGGTGTGTGGGCTGTAGCCCAGAGAGACTCCATTGATGCCATAGGCATGGTGAGTGAGGGGTGAGGGGAGGGCAGGGAACTGGCTATAGCAGGCCTGTCTTCGTCTGTCTGTCTCCTTGCATATGACCCCGTCCTCTCTCTTCCTCATACTCTACTTTTTCTGTTTCTGAAGCCTTGCACATAGGCTACTAGCCCACTAACTGGGCCAGCTGCACAGCCTACTACCTCTGCTGTTGCCTTCCCCAAAACAGCATAGGATGGGGTCACAGTACCCCAAAATTGGCCACCTTCCCAGGCAGTCTGAGTTTCCTCTGGCTCTTTGGGGGAGGCAAAGGATGTGACTGTGAGGCCAAGAGGAAGCACCTCTACTTTATGGAGTCAGAATTGATACTGGTCTGAGGTAGTGGGCACCCAGCTCTTACCACTGAGGCCATGGTTCTTCTGGCCTCCTTGTAGCACAGGCAGTCTATGGGACTGTCCCTCTCAGAGGTTCTGGTGTTGGGTCCCATGACAGCCCTGGTAACAAGAGATGTAGATAGAGGGCTCTGTTGGGGCAGCAGGCTGGGCCCAGATGCCAGCGTCCTGCTCCCAAGCGCTGTAGGTGCCAGTCATGAGATGCACTCCCAGACCGGCATGGATGAGGGGAACTTTGGGGGTGTGGGGCGTCAGTGCCCACGATGATCCCATGGTGGTGTTTCTTGCAGTTTCTTGGTGGCTTGGTGACTACTATCTTCCTGGACATTGTCTACATCAGCATCTTCTACTCAAAGTTTGCCACTGGGGACACTGGCCGCTTTAGTGCCGGCATGGCCATCCTTAGCTTGCTGCTCAAGCCCTTCTCCTGCTGCCTCGTCTACCACATGCACCGTGAGCGAGGGGGCGAACTCCGCCCCGGTAAGTCCTGCCCTGCTCTGCCTCTCCTGGGCCCAGCCCACAAGCTCCTGCTACAGAGACCTGGTCCCAAGCTGCCAGTTAGTCTAGTGTGACCTTTCCCTGCTATCAGGCTGTGGGCAGACTTGGTGGCTCAACCTCAGACTAGAGCACAGGCGAAGCCATGAGGGGTTCAGCTCCCGGGGCAGTGGGCAGTCTCTGGCTGGGGCCTCTAGATGGCTGCAGGGTAGGTCCTCCCTTCTGTTTCCCCTCTGCCCTGGCTCTGGAGCCCCTGCTTCTGCCATGTGAGAGCCACCCCTTCTGGACAGACATAGTGCTAGGCAGGCGGTGGTGCTGTGCCTAGGCAGGTTGTGTTGCTGTGCCTTGCTGGGAACAGCACCAGGTGGCAGGTGCTCCTGACTCGCCTCCTACACTGTCATCTCTTGTGGTGCCAAGCCATTTTCCTGCCTTCTCTCAGCCTGTTTTCTTTTCCTTTTATTCTTTCCAAGGAGTCAGAGGAGCTGGCTATAGTCTACCTTTTGCTCCTGAGAGGCCTGGGGCCCACCTGGGAAAGAACCGGCCTGAGGCTGCCCACTCTGGTTGACCTCAGCACTGTCCAGACCAGACTTGGTGTGAGGGGAACAGGGAGGAAGCCAAGACCCACAGTCCTTGGGACTTGGTGGTGGTCCCAGGACAAATGTGTAGAGAGGATGTGAGAGAGTTGGTGGGCGCCTCAACCTTGCACCCTCAGCCCCAGCCCTCTGGGTCAGCAACTGTGCCAGGCTCTGGAGACAGTGATGTAGGTCTTCCTGCCTAGAAGAGAGCAGGAGAGAAGTCTGTGGGCTCAGGGCTGGCAGTCTCTTCAGGTTCCTGGGCGTGTGCAGATGTGGCACAGTGACTGGTGGCACTGGCTCAGGGGACCTGCTGCTTAGGATCGAGCCCCAGTTCATCAGCTTCAAGCCATGTAGTCAAGTCAAGTCAGTCTGTTTCTCTGGCCTTCAGTTTCCTCATCTGCAAATTCCTGCCACATACAGACATGAGAGGGTTGAGCAGATGCTGCCTGCTAAAGGCTTGGTGTCTAGGCCTCTGCCACTGCCCACTGTCCTTGGCATCACGATGCCTGGCACAGGCCTTGGGAGGGGGTTGGGTCTCTGACTGGTCTTAGTAGAAGGTCTCACATTCTCACTTTCTCTTTCCCCATGTCTCCTGCCCTCTAGGTTTCTTTGGGCCTTCTCAGGAACGTAGTGTCTACCAGACGATTGACTCTCCAGACTCACCTGCAGAGCCCTTTGCAGACCTAGAGGACAGGGGCCAAGCTGTTCCGCGGGGGTACTGAGACTGCTTTGTGCACCTGGCCCTAGCTGTGTGGCTTTCCTGGTGCCCAGCAGAATGATCCTCTCTCCCTTTCCTGGACCTAAGATGGAGCGTCCCCACCTGAATCATGTGCCCTTGGGAGGTCAGGAGCTCCTGGGCTCCCCAGCCTGGGAACACCCCAGTCCTAACTCTCCAGGCCTCCCTTCTCTTCAAGGTACCTGCTGGTCCCCAGGCTGGAACTATGGCTGCTTTCTTCATCTCCTGCCCCATAACTATACCATGCCCCTGCTGATCTGAGTGTGACAGGGTCAGGCCTTAGGGCCAATGATGGCCACTTCCCAGGCCTCCCCCCAAATTGTCCAGTCCTCCTAAGAAGCTCTGGAAGCTTCTGATCCTGTTCAGCCTTGGGACCTGTCCTGCATAGGAGTAAGGTCCCTGTGCCTCTCACTGCCTGATTGCTTGGTGCCTGGGATCCCAGGCCTGGAGACAAAAGGTCTACAGCTGCCCCCTCTTGGAGCCCTGACATTAAAGTTCAGAGATTCTGTGGCTGAGCTATGTTTGAGCCATGTTTGATCTCCTGGATGGGGTCTTGTCCTTCCTGGGATGATTTCGCTTTTGAATCACTAACTGGAGCCCTGGGCTGAGCCATCCATTGTCTGTGGCTGGTGGAAGGAAAGGCTCCCTATTGGGCCTGCCCAGAGCCCAGAGGAAGCAGAGTGGGTGCCAGTCACTGTGGTACAGAGACATCCACCTGCATCAGATGAGTAGGCACTGGTTTAAATCCCGCTCTGCCACTTGGCAGCTGTGTGAAGCACCTTCAGTGTCTTCTAGAAGTCAGTGCCTGCTCAGAGGTGGTTATGACATCCAGTGTCAAGAACCAGGGTGTCAGGAGTCCTAAGTGACAACACTGCCCCTGGAGCAGGTTGTGATGTTGAGCCATGGGGCAAGGAGTAGCCTACTGTAGCCCCTGTGTTCTGGCCACGGCTGAGCCCTCCTGGGGCCACAGGGCCAGGACCCTTGCTGTGACTGAACTGCTTGTTTAGAGCTTGTTCTTTGCCTGTGTCTTAGATGCCTGGTATTTCCTAGGGGCACAGCTATCTGTCAGCCAAAAGAGGCTGAAGCCAGATGTGGTGGCCCATACCTATAATCCCAGCACTGGAGAGGTAGAGGTAGTGTTAGGGTCCGTGACTCAGTGGGTCTCTTCTGGAGAACAATTTCACGAATATGGAGATGCAAGAATCAAACAGTTTTATTAAACCAGCTAGCTGGGGTCAACCGCCCTTCCAAGACACACAGGCCTGGTTGGAGCAATCGACCCCGAGGCAACTGCAGGTAAAGATTATATAGGTTCCCACAACTGTTACACAAAAGCCCGTGCTTATACAACCAATAGTTTCAAAGCAAGCATTTCACAAACCAATAACTTTAAAACAAGAAAAATGTTA